CCCCAAGTAGGGGAATTGCGTCGACGTACAAGTCGGTGGATCTCCAAGATGCCATCTCCGCGTCCACGGCAGCTATCCAGTGAGAGGCCGAGTGTCCCGTAGTTGCCTCAGCGTAGGTGCGAGGGGTCGTGATGTCAAGAGCATCTAGTTCACCCTCAAAGGCTAGCAGCATGGAGCAGAGATGAGGAGCGGCCTCGGAAAGGAAAGCTAGCTCGTACTGCCTGTCCTCTAGGATGTCACTGCCAAGGGATGGTGCACCCCCGACAGACGGATGACAGGCAGGGTCGGAGACCATAGCAGTGGCGTGGTCAAGGCGGTAGGGAGAGGCAAACTCAATTACGGTAGCGACAAGAGCCGAGAGACTGGGGACAGGAACGGACGGGCCGGTAACGAGAGAGGCGAGGACATGAGGAATAAGAGGGGAAGCAGCACAGAGGAAGTCAAAGAGAGGAGGCGAGGAGACACAGAGGGGCGATTGAGGAGGCGAGGGGAGAATGGGATCGGGAGAAGAACAAGACGCGTGAGAATGGAGAAACATAGGGTGGACACTTGGAGCGGGAGAGATGGGACAAGCATGGGAGGGACGGAGGGACCAAAAGTGGGAGGGAGTCGTCGGGTCAGGAGATAAAGGAGGAGACACAGGAGGAGACACAGGAGGAGAACGAGGGGGGAAACGAACCGGAGTCGAGTCCGGCAGAGGGAACACAGGACTGTAGACAGGAAGAGGAGGCGGCACTGGGGGAGGCACGGGCGGTCGGTCGGGGGAGGCGGAGGGAACACTAAGGAGGCGAAGGGCGGACACTAGCTGCTGCTGTTGGGGCTGCTGCAGCAGTTGATGCTCCTGTTGCTCCGTGCCCTCACCAAAACCTTCAGCCCCACCGTGGATACTGCCGGTACTTGCTGAGACAGCACATCCAGGACCCGCACCCCCAGGACTAGCAACCCCCTCAGAACCAGCACCCCCAGCTCCAACACCCCTAGAGCCCACCAAATACTGCTGCTGCAGCGGCTGCTGCTACTGCTGCGGCGGCGGTGGTGACTGCTGCTGCTGCGGTGGAGGAGGCACCGGGTCTGGGGGTGTAGGCGCCGCAGAATCGAACGGTGCACGCGGGATCCTGGGACCCCCAGAGTCAACAGATTCCTCCGCTAGGCCAACCGAGGGAACGAGAGTGACGTGAGACACACCAGATGGGGTGGACCATGGAGGGAGGGGAGCGGGAGCTACCGGGGGATTGGGGACAAGGAACAGGGGCAGGGTAACGGGGAGACCTTGGTGGAGGAAGCGAGTGTAGAGGGAGACAGACTCGTCAAAGGTGATGTCATGCGAGTGAAAGAAATGGTGAGACGACGGGTGGTAAAAGTGCCAGTTAGGAGCCAAGGAAGACAAAAGGGACAGTGCGGGCGGTGAGCTTGTCCGTGCGAGAGTCGTTGACGTGAGCTAGGCAGCCCCAGAAGTGAAACGCAGACGCGTGACCAAGGGAACCAGTCCAGAGAAGGGTCGGCGAAACCTGTGGCTGCTGGGAGCACGGCCACAGGTTAAGCTGGTGAGCAGCGTAGCCCACTGCAAACGGCTACAGAAAATGGGGTGCACTAGCGTGAACCATGGAGGTGCAAGCTACCTCCATGACCAGGCCGATGTGTCGCTCAGCAACCCCATTCTTTTGTGGGGAGTCCAGGAGTGTGTACGAATGGGTAATGCTCTCGGCACGACAGAACTGGCCAAGCCGATCGGAGGCGAACTCGCCTCCATGGTCGAAGTGTAGACGAAGCACATTCTGGGCACGGCGGACTCGGGCAGCTACAAGCCACGGGATAAGAACGTCAAGCACGTCGGCCTTCCGCTCCAAGGGAATCACCGTGGTGTAGCACGAGTAGACGTCAACGAGAACCATGAAGTAGTGCTCGCGACGCGGCCCAGGGACCAGGGCTGGGCCCCCGACGTCCAGGTGCAGGGTCTGAAGTGGCGTAGTGATGGGGGGAAACGAGGTGGAGTGAGGAGCAGCGCACTGCCGCCTCTCGACACAAGGCGTGCACGGAGGCGCGGGCAAGGGAGGGAGGGCAGGGAGGGATGGAGGGAGACCTAAGACCGTGCTGAGACATGTGACGGAGACGCGAGAGAGCACGGTGACCTAGATGGTGGTGCCACAGTAGCGATGGGTGAGTGAGCGACCGGAACGAGGGGCGCGGTGTCCAGCGGGAACAGGCCAGACACAATGTCCCAGGGAAACATGGTGAGGGGAGCAACAATGGCGGACTCTATACAGACTACGTACCGTTCGTGTCCAGGGAACGTGGTGGTGACGCCGAGGTCCTGAAGGGAGCCGAAACCAACCAAGTTCTTGGAAAATGAGGGGATGAGCAGACCTGTAAGAGAGCTAGAGGGAACCTCCGGACAGGGAAGTGTAGTGGAGCTGCGTCCAACTACCATACCGCAGGAGGGTTCTGCAAGAGAGACTGCTGCCGGTGGTGAATGTGGCGTGAGAGTAGTGTGGTCGTGAAATAAGCAAGCTGACGCACCAGAGTCCAACTTGAAGTAGAGCGCGGAAGTAGCGTCGGCCGGAGGGGGCGCAAGGGTAAAACGTAGGCTAAACAAGTCAGGAGGTCCTACACGGCTGTCAGCAGGTCCTACGTCTGACGCAGTAGGGGAGCCTAGATGACACACAGCAAAGACTCCTAGTCTAGGCAATGCAGGATAACAAGGTCCAGTAACACTAGAGTCATCAACATACATAGCATACAAAGCAGATCAGATCTGATCCATATCCATCGCAAAGACCGGCACACGGCGACATACCAAGTTGTGCCGGTCCGCGAGCTAGAAGCGGAGACGAAAGAGGTCGTCAAGGCGGCGGAAGAAGCGGGCAGTGGTGTGACCGGGACGATCGCAAACAGTGCCATGTAGGGGACCAGACTGGATCTGGTACTGGCATCTCACCGCACTGGAGCCGCCGCCCGATGCTGAGCTGTGGGGGCCGCCACTGCGGCCACCACTACCAAAGCCACCGGGCAACCATGGCGGCGGGGGCCCCCACTTCTGCTACTGCTGCTGCTGCCGCTACTCCTGCTGCTGATACTTCTGCTCTGGGGCCTCAGGACCCACCCCCTCGTCCACACCCCTAGCGTTCCCACCACCCCCACCACCCCCGCCACCCCCACTACCCCCAGCACCCTTCCCTTCCCCACGCCCCCCTCTGGGGCAACGGGGGCCTGTACCCTGACGAGGCTGTGCTGAGGCCCCCGCAGCGGTCTCGGCGAAAGGGGCTGTCTCAACGACAGCGGTGGAGGCGTCAGAGTAAGTGCACTAGGAGGGAGAACAACCTTGGAAGATAGGGACCGCCGCAGTATCGCAGAACTAAGCGATAAGATGGCGACGAAATCGGGAAAGGGTGAGGTCAGCAGGGTGGAGACTAAGGAAGGCGTTACGGACGGGGGCTAGGCGGCCATGGAGGTGTGTGGCGAGGAAAAAGAGTGGCACCGAAAGGAGAGGGGAGTATAGTGAGCTGAGCATCAGTGCTAGCAGTGCGGTAGTTAGACTCGAGAGCGCGCAGGTGGGTAGTGAGATTAGCGACAGTGGGGAAGGATGCTAGGTCAGGGAAGAGCAAGTGCAGGAGGAGAGGACTGGCAGAGGTGGAGGAGGAGGTAGAATAGCGAGCGATAACAGCTTCTAGATACTCCTTCGCCGTCTCTAGGGCTTGAAAGCGTGGACGCACGGACAGCGGGAGAGCATAATTGATAGATAGCTGCGCAGCGGCGTCACGGGACTCCCACACAGAGCAAGCGAGCTCAGCAGCTGTGAAAATGTCACGCTCAGCAGGCGTGGTGGCGTCAATGAGGGCAGCAGGCGCGGGGGGGCAGGGCACCTTACCGTCGACGTGGATGGCCAAGGACTGGCCGTCCTAGCGCTGACCCTTCAGTTGGTGGCGCAGGTCGGCGGGCCATGCCTCGAAATCCACTGCACGACCCTCGGCGTTGAGGCGGAGGATAGTGTCCGCCATCGTGCGCAGTTGCGGCAGCTGGAGAGCACAGGAGGTCGAGGAGGGAGCAGGCAGGCGTGGTGTAGTGCGGTGGAGTGCGGTGGAGAGCGTTGAAGTGCGGTGGAGTGCAGTGGAGGGCGATGGAGTGCGGTGGAGCGTGATGGAGTGCAGTGGAGGCGCGGGAGCGCGCACGGCCGACGAGGGTGCCGGCACAGAGGAGACACCAGGACCGGCGGCAGGTTGGGGCCGGTAGCGAGCAGGGGCCGGCGGCAAGCAGGGGCCGACGTGGCTGGCAGGGGTCGGCGGCAAGCTGGGGCCGGCGGGGCTAGCTGGGGCTGGCGGGAAGCTGGGGTTGGCGCGGCGAGCAGGGGCTGGCGCTGCGAGAAGGGGCCGGCACGGCGAGCAGGGGCCGGCGCGGCTAGCACGGGCAGGAGTGGTGAGTTAGGCCAGCGCTGCGAGCTGAGGCCAACGCGACGAGCTGAGGCCGACGCGGTGAGCTAGGGCTGGCGCGGTGAGTCGGGCCCGACGACGCGCAGGGGCCGCCGCGGCGAGCAGGAGCCGGCGGCGAGCTGGGGGCCGACGCGGCGAGCGGGGGGCCGACGTGGCGAGCTGGGGCCGGCGCAGCGAGCAGAGGCCGGCGCGACGAGAGGGGCCCGGCGGCGAGCTGGGGCCGGCGGCGAGCCTAGGGTTCAGCTCGGCGAGTTAGGGCCAGCGCGGCGAGCAGAGGGCCAGCGTGGCGTGCTAGGGCCAGCGCATCGCGACGGGCTAGGGCAGGCGAGGCGAGCTTGGACCAGCGCGGCGGGCTAAGGCCAGCGCGGCGGGCAAGGGCCAGGGGCATGCTAAGGACGAGGCACGCCCAGGGCGGGGCGCGAAAAGGGGCGGGGCGCTCTTTAGGTGAGGGGCGCTCGAACGTGCGGGGCGCTCTAAGGCGGGGCACTCTAAGGTAGGCTAGGACGGAAGAATGGGTGGGACCTACCTAGTGTAATACTATATCAAAGTAGTGAAGTAAATACTGGCTAGCAAGGCATACAGTGAGATATCAAGGTTGGGTGTTGTACAGTACTCTCTAAGAACATGAACCCATTTAGCCTATAACTATACATGCTATGCATATGTATGAGTTGACATAAACCCAACATGATCGTAAGAGCAGATGAATTGATATGCCCAAAAAGCAACCCGCTGCAGTAAGTCAAATAATACTGTGACGGGATGTGATTGAATCGGAACTGATTTAAGTGCCGGAAGGGTAGAGCTTGAGGGGAGAGGCCCTCTGGACATCAAAGCCCAATGGGTCTGAATGCTCGAGGCTGTTGCTCTTCCTATGGCGCTGCTGCTCTGAGCACTTGAGCAAGGAGAGCATGCCCCCTCTGCTGTTGCTGCCTACCAAGGAGTTCATGGAGTAGCGGATGAGCAGTGCGCCCCAGGGAAGAAAGATGTGCTCCGATGGGCGCAGCTGATATTCGGGGGCCCGGGAAGGGAAGCAAGGAGGGGAGAAAGAATGTTAGTTCAGGGCACTTGGACGTTGAATCCCACTAATTCTGGGTGCCCGTGAGTGATGCCCCTCGTGTGGCACAGCTATGTTGAGCGCTTGAGCAGGGACAAAGACGTCCCCCCTGCTCGGGCAAGGGGGCGGAGGGAGGGGGGATTGGGAAAGGGGAAGGGGGAGGGGAGAAAGGGCAGGGTTGGAGAGGAAGGGATGAGGGGGGCAGTGAGGTAGCACGGAGAATACAAGGAGATTGGTTGGTGTGCAATGTGGTGCACGGTGTGTGAGGTGAGACGTGCAGGCTAGAGAAGAGACATTTGAAGTCAGTGAGTGATTGGCAGAGAGCGGTGCTGTGAGGGCAGAGAGTGATGCTGTAAGGGAGAGAGCGGTGCTATGAGGGCAGAGAGCGGTTCTGTGAGGGCAGAGAGCAGTTCGGTGAGGGCAGAGAGCGGTTCCGTGAGGGGTGCAACTAAGTGGAAGGAGAGGAACGGACGGGGAGTGAGGAAGAAGGTCAGTCTAGTGCCGGAGATGCGCGCTGAGGTACAGTGACAGGATAAAGCATTGAGAGGCAGAGGGCGATGACTGGGAGGGGGGTCTAAGAGAGGGGGGAAAGAGGAGGGAATGGGGCGAGAGAGATAGATTGGATATGGGAACGGCAAGGGGAAACAACTCAACACGTGCCTCTTACCTGCCGGGAAGCACCGACACCCAAGTAAAAACAGCGGCATCAAGGTTAGAGAGAGCAGGGGTGTTGGAAGCGCCAGTCACGATTCTGAAGGCAGGTGACTTGTTAGGGGGATAAGGGTGAGGGCAGATACCCTACTCCCCCTGACACGCACGAGCACGTACCTGAGTCAATTGATGTGCCGGGAAGCATTGGCAACCAAAACGAGACAAGCAGTTGTGACGGCGGGTATTAGAAGCATAGGTAGCAGTTCTGAAGGCAGGTGAACTGTGCAGCAAGGAGAGGCGGAAGAGAGAGGGGAGAAGAAGACACACCTCTGATCTCCCCGGGGGCGCCCGCACCCAAATAAGAAAAGCGGCAGCACCAGCTTAGGCGCTAGTGTCCCAAACGAGGTTCAGAGCAGGGAAGCACAATCACATCAAAAGCTGCTGCTGCTGCTGTTAGACATGTCTCCCAAACCCCGCTCCCTCTTCCCCCCTACAACATAGACTCGTGCTCCATCCCACAAGTCAACCTCCCCACCCTCCACCACCCCACTCCCATGCACATCCACATGCCTGAGCGCCCCGGCCTGTCTAAGAGAATCTGGCAGAGTCTCGAGGGCCACACATCCCCGCAGCTGCAGCACTTCCAGGCGAGGCAGCAGGCCCATGTCAGGGGGGAGGGAGCGCAGGTGCTTGCAGCGATTGAAGCAGGCCACACGGAGGGAAGGCAGGGAGGAGAAGGAGGCGGGCAGGTGGGTGAAGGAGTGGCACCCGGCGATTGTTAGCCGGGCTACTCGAGGCAGAGAGCCAAAGGTTTCAGGAAGGGTGGAAAAATCATAACATTCTGTGATGGCGAGGTGGATGAGGGAGGAGAGAGAGGAGTCAGGGAGACTCTGAATGTCACGGCATGAAATGAAGGAGAGGCGTTCGAGGGAGCATAGAGCACCAAAAGCAGTAGGTAGGGTAATCATATAGTCGCAGTGTGCAATGGTGAGTGTGTGGAGGCGAGAGAGGAGGCAGAAGGACGGAGGCAGACTGGTGAGGGTCCCACGAGCCAACGTTGCAACTTCCAGCAATGACAAGCCGCCAAGAGTATCTGGAAGAGAGGAAAACGCCTCTATAGTCAGCTTCTTTAGTGCCCCAAAAAAGCCAAACTCTGGCTGTAAATGCTCCATCTTATGACACCCCCGAAGCTCGAGCTCTTCTAGACAAATCAGCTGATGAATCCCCTCAGGCAGCCACTCCAAGTTGCCACACTGGAGATGAAGTTTATTTAGGGAGCCCAGCCCGCCCAGGGAATCAGGAAGGGCCCCATTGGAGCAACTGCAATTCAGTTCTAGCCACTCCAATGCTGCCAGACGGCCAATGCTCTCCGGACGGTGAACCTGGTTTTGCGGACGGGAGACCTCGCTCTCTAAAATGTAAGTGTACTTTCTGATGCGTAGCGTGCGGAGGGAGGCTAGGATGGCGGGGTCGGGCGGGGGAGAGGGGAAGTCAATGTTGGTAAGGCGGAGGGCAGTGAGGGAGGTGAGGTGGGCGATGAATGAGGGAACCGCGAGGCGATTTCTATCTGCACCGCCGCTGCTGGGGTCGCTGCTGGGGATGATGCTGCTGCTGATGCACTCATTGTGTTCCAATGATAGTGAGTGGAGCGATGGGGCAAGGAGAGAGAGGGAGTCCGGGAGGGGGAGAAAGGAGCCGGAGAGGGAGAGAGAGCGAAGGTTGGTGAGGAGGCCAAAGGCGCAAAGCCGGAGAGCGCAAGGTTGAAGTTTGCTAATGGAGAGGTGTGTGAGGGAGCGGAGGGAGAAGAGGCGGGCGGAAAGGTAATTGTCCTTCGAGCTATGGTGGCCTGTGCCAAACTCCAGGTGCTGCAACGAGGGGCCCAGGGACGAGCACGCCGCGACATAAGTGATAGCAGCAGCAGCCGCGGTGGCGGCGGCAGCAGCAGCAGCAGCAGCGGCATCAGCAACAGCAGCAGCAGCACCAGCAAGAGCAGCAGCAGCAGGAGGGGCGGCAGGAGCAGTGGCGGCAGCAGCAGTGGCAGCGGCAGCGGCGGCGGTTTGAGAAGCAAGAGCCAGAGATGGATAGCACAGCTGCGATCCCCAACGCACATCGCCCTCTTGTCCTTCCTGTTGGCCTCTTTCCAGCCATATCACCCTGCCCAGTTTCACATAAGCAAGCGACGGCAGGGAAAACAACCCCACAGGGAAGTCCACATCCTCACATCGCCCCAGAGGAAAGTAGCTGTTCCCATCCGAAACCTCGAGCCGCTCGAGGGACGTCAGCCGGCTCAGCGGCTCAAGCGCCACGCCGCCATGCGCCCCATGAATAGTCAAGTGGCGCAAAGCCAAAGCATGGCCTATATAGTCCACTGATAGCGGCTCTAGGTTCGCGCAGTGGTGTATGGTGAGGCGGGTGAGGGTTTCAAACCACGTGGGCGGGAGATTACGCAAGAAGCGGCATTGCTCCAGTGTAATTTCGCACGCTTCTGGAAACTCGCCCTCGTAGCACCGCAGCTCCAGCCGCCGCATCTGCTGCAGCCGCTGCAGTGCGCCAATGCTATCTGGAAACTTCAGATGCCAGGAGCCGTCGATCTTGAGCGAGATGAGCGATGAGAGATCGCCAAAAGACTCCGGGAGGCGACGTAGATCCCTGAACTCCGAAAAGGAGATGTGCGCCAAAGATTTCAGCTGCCCAAAGGTCTCGGGCAGCTCCCGCAGTGCGGGGCAGTTGAGATGCAGCTCCTGGAGCGCGGGCAGATGGGATATTCCGTCGGGCAGCTGATTGAGAACGTTGGAGTGCAGCAGAAGCACGCGCAGTGACGTCAGCGACGAAATGGCAGCAGGAAGCTCGGTCAGCTCGAGGCAATGCGACAGCGAAAGCTCCTGTAACCGCCACCCAGAGCCGTGGAAGAATCCCTCAAGCGATTCGAGGCCGATTTTGAATGGCGGTGCGCCGGTGAAACGCGGCTCGCTGATGCTCAAGCAGGTCAGCTTAGGGCAGGCGGAACGCAGGGAAGGCAGGAACTGATCGTTGTAGAAATCGACCGCGCGCTTGCCCAGCGAGAGGGAGGTGACGCCAGGCGCGCGGGACAGCGCGCGCAAGAGCGCGGACGCGGAGAGCACGGTGGGGGGGGAGGTCCAGACCATAGCCATGATCGTATGGCTCCACGCGAGCGTAGCGTGCCTCGGTCTCCCATTGATCATGGCCTGGCTCCGAGTCGTCACGGGCTGACACGGGCTCGAGGCCATGACACGGGCTGGCACCGGGCTCGAAGCCACCCCCGGCGTCCATTCCAGCATCCTTGTTTGGGGTTGCTGCGAGGAAGAGTATCCTCGCTAAAAGCTCGTCAGGCAGAGTATCGATTAATGCGAATGATTCTCGCGCCCTGCTGGTGTTGGCTGACAGATCTGCATGCGCCTCACGGGGTTCAGCCATGTCGTGAATCCTCTGTTTTTTTTTTTTTTTTTTTTTTTTTTTTTTTAACTCTGTTTTTTTAAACTCTGTTTCTCCCGGATTCCCCAACCCCCTGCACCCTAATTCGTCCGGATTTCAGGGTAGTTGATTTCTGTTTCATCCGGATTCGGGTAGAAAGTTACTTTTAGCCGAGTTACAGCAAACATTGACTCGGACATGTCACGATGTTCAAGGTCCAAACAGGGTAACATTTGAGGAGTGCCAGAAAAAAGGAGTACTTCTGGACTTGCTATGTAAAGAGTGAATTTCCTCCGCTAGTTTTCTGACAAACCTGCTAAAGTAGGGTAGAATATGTGTCAGCAACCTTCGCAACTTTCCGGGTTGCGGGAAGAGGGAGGAGGGGAACGTGGCTAAACGTTTTTAGCCAAATTTTCCTAGCTCCGTGGGCGTGCGAGGCTGTAGGAGGAATTTTCCTGTCTGTGAGGGACGCCAAATATTCTAGGTTTAGGGTGGCTTGGGAGGAGGAGACTCTCTGTGTAAAATTCTCTAGGTTTAAGGAAGACTTAGCCAAATACACTATGTTATAGGGTAAATGCAGGAATGTTCCTGCGATAAGGACTAGCCGAAGTTTTGTGGGTGTGGGTAGGAGGACTATCTCTGTTTGGGAGGGACAGCCGAACTCCTCTATGGTCAAGGAAGGAATGTTCCTGACTATGACGGACTTAGCCGAAAATTCTGCGTTTCGGGTGGTGCGTGTGGGAGGAGCACGGTATGTCTGTGTGTGGGGGACTTCGCCATAAATGCTTGGTTGCGGGGTTAAGGAATGCTGCTGGAAGTTGGGGACTTCGCCGATTTTTCTGAGTTTTGCTGGTGTGGAAGTTATATGTGTGAGGGACTTAGCCGAATTTCCTGGGTTCGGGGGCTCCGTGGGACTGTTTATGAAAGTTGGGGAATTAACCGGAAAAATGTATCTGCCCTCCTAGGTGCGAGGAGGGGGGAAGGGGAGAGGGGTGGGGGGGGGGTATTTCTTGGCAGTTGCAGCCGGATTGCCCCCCCAGCGAATTCTGATCTTCCCGGAGCCGCCCGCAACACCACTTCTATAAATTCCGGAAACCCCGATAACTCTACCCGTTCAAAATCCAGAACGAGCCCAACGCGAACTCTTAATGTTTTTTCATTCCAAGTAATTACCCTTGAAAAATAGGCCCTGCCGGGAAGCTCCATTCTCTATGGCCAAGATCTTTCACGATGCGTGGAAACCTAATCCTCAGTCAGAAGCTCAGAATTCTGGTCAGTAAGAAACCGACGCAAGGGGAGCAAGCTTCAGGTTATGATGACTACAGTTGGAGTCCGTCCGATGACTACAACAGACCACCGTCAAAGTCGACAGTCACGACAGCCTTAGGCTGCCTGGAAACTGGGAATGAGGCCGTATAGACGTATACATGTCATATGCCTTGTAGACGACTTCCTTTTACGCCCAGGAGTGCCCCATAGGCATTTTATCCTTAAGGGCCTCTCTTTGTACGCAAAGTGTACCCGTCTCAACTCAACAGTAACTTCGACAGTCGATTCGGCTGATCTTTGGCCGTCCAATCAGTTTGCTCTTGTATTTTCAGGGCGACCTCTCCTACTGGTTGGCGAGCCTTTAAACATCCAGAAGTGTCAAGCTCGCCAACCAATATCGAGACCAAAATCCACATGATGCTATAGATATGACCACCTCGGTGACGGTCCAGTAGATTAACGCCAGCAACGCCAACAGAATCCGTCTGCGTAGCCCTGGGAAATTCCGTCATCCGTCTGCCAACAGGAAATCGCCAAGTAAGCAACAGAGGGGTCCCAACATCGTTCCCCCCGCCAACAATGCAGACACCACGGGGTTATTTGTATGCCCCAAACATCGACCTTTTCACGACACAAAGAACGAGCCCGTCAGACCGACGAGGTCGTCCGCATGGCACCTGTACGCCGAACTGCGCTGTCCGTCGGGCAGAAGCTTGCAATCTGCCAGTACGCGAATAAGAATCCGACTTTACGTCTCGAAGACATTGGGCGATGGTGCCACACCAGATACGGCCTATGGCCGGATCGCAGCACAGTCGGCCGAGTTCTCCAAAGAGAAGTGAAGTGGCGGGCCATCGGGCCCGAACGCGCCAAGTTCAAAAGGTTGCGTAACCCACACTGGCCTTTACTAGAAGCTCGACTTAAGAGCTGGCTGAAAAGCACAAACGGTACTGGCTTGCCATTGTCGACCGCTCTAATCCAGCAGCGCGCGATTCTGCTAGCACCCGAGTGCAACGTGCCAAGCGACTTTAAAGCTTCTGTTAGATGGGTTCATAAAGCATTGAGCCGAATGGGATTCAAGTGGCGTAAGATGAGCGGCGAGGCGAAGTCGGCCGATGAGGGCGCCGCGCTGACCGCGCAACTGCATTTCCCGAGGCTGTGCGGCCAGCTTGGCCTCACCCCAGAGAACGTCTTCAACTTCGACGAGACCTGCGTCTACTACAGTCTCCTACCCGACCACACTTTCTGCATCGATCCTACCCCGGGGAAGAAGGTTTGCAAGGACCGGCTTACAGTTTGCAAGAAGGTTTGCTCGTAAACGCGGACGGCTCGAAGCTATTCAAGCTGGTAATCATTCACAAACTTGAACGGCCCCGTTGTTTCACAAAGTAGAAGTTTGACCCTTCAAAGCACTGCTACTGGCGCGCGAACACCTCGGGATGGATGACTGCAGAGGTGAGTGCGTCGTTTTGAATCTTTTGCTTGCAATGTGCCGTGTTCTGTCCGATGCGAAATGAGTCGCGCGAATGTAAATTTATTCAGCTAACAAGAAATGCATCCCATATGCCCCTCGCAAGTCTTCACGGCGTTTTTCGAACATATCAACGCGTGCTGTTTGGCGGAAGGAAGACGCATCGTCGTCATGCTGGATAACGCGTCGAGTCACCTGCTCCAGTCCCCACTCGCCACGTTAGCTATCATCTGCGGCTTTCGGACACGGGCGCTCTCGCATGTGCGCCTCGTTTACTTGCCGCCGAACACGACCCCGTTCACTCAGCCTCTGGATCAGGGCCTCATCGCAGCTCTGAAGGCACGTTACAGAGTCGAGTTGCTTCAAGCAGTTCTCGCACAGTGGCAGATATATGGCGTGACCATCGCCGCCGCCACTCCCTCGGAGCCTCGCTTGTGCGCTCTAGTTCGCACAACCTCTCTTTGTACTTTGACGTCAAGCTCCTAAGTACATTCTGATCTAGTGCTCGGCGCTTCACTTCGGGCTAAGCCCGTCGCGCCGCATCTGCTCGGCGCGTCACTTCGGGCTGAGCCCGTTGCGTCGCATCTGCTCGGCGCGTCACTTCGGGCTGAGCCCGTCGCCCCGCATCTGCTCGTCGCACCTGATCGGGCTGAGCCCGTCGCCCTGCATCTGCTCGTCGCACCTGATCAGGCTGAGCCCGTCGCCCCGCATCTGCTCGTCGTACCTGATTGGGCTGAGCCCGTCGCCCCGCATCTGCTCGTCATGCCTGATCGGGCTGAGCCCGTCGCCCCGCATCTGCTCGTCGTCCCTGATCGGGCTGAGCCCGTCGCCCCGCATCTGCTCGTTGCACCTGATCGGGCTGAGCCCGTCGCCCCGCATCTGCTCGTCGTACCTGATCGGGCTGAGCCCGTCGCCCCGCATCTGCTCGTCGCATCTGATCGGGCTGAGCCCGTCGCCCTGCATCTGCTCGTCACACCTGATCGGGCTGAGCCCGTCACCCCGCATCTACTCGTCGAAGCTGGACGGGCTGTCGCCCGTCGCCCTTGCAACAGCGGGGGGTGCAGCGGCGAAGCGGACAAGGGAGCAGCGGCGAAGCGGACAAGGGAGCAGCGGCGAAGCGGAAAGGGGGCAGCGGCGAAGCGGAAAAGGGAAAAGGGGGGGGGGTCGCGGAGCAGCGGGATTGCAGCAACATATCGAGACTTTGTAGAGATTTCGGCGATCAGATTTCCCTCTTAATCGGCCATTTTCGCTCTCCGAGCGTTGAAAATCCGCAAAAGGAAATCTAGTTTTTCGCGAAGTGCCTATCGGCGACTTAAGAGCCGCGCTACGCGCGGAGAAAGGGTCCTTGGAGCATCATGTCGTACCCTTCCGCGTCTCTCTCAAACCCGATTGCTCCCTTGCGCCTCAACCCAAATGGCTCAAGCCCCAACTTCAAGGAGAGGAGCTATGGGGTTGATAAGCATCTCCTAAGCCGCAAGATTGAGGGAATTTGCCTCAAGGATGTCCTCCTCAATCGCGGCAAAGGAAAGATACCGGCCCTTCCCAAGAAGCTCTCGGCCATGGCCACAGAGGAAGAGTCAAAAGCGCATGAGGACTCCCTGTCCAAGTATGAGGAATCTTACAGCGTATGGGAGCAAGCCGGCGCCGCTATCATTGGCGTCTTCGTCGGCACTACCCCTTCCGAGCTTGTCAAAACTTACCGTAACTACCCCTCTGCGCACGCCATTTGGGAGTACCTCAACGGCCGCTTCCTCAACAAAACCGTTGTGGGGGTGGCGATCCTCATCCCCCGCATCTTTCAAGTGCGTCTGGAGGAGTGCCCTGGAATGACAGATTACGTCGCTGAGATTCAAGGGATTCATCAGGAGCTGAAGCAACTCGGCATTGTCTTCCCAGAGCAAGCCCCTGCAGCAACTCTGCTTGTTGGGCTGACCCCCTCTTACAATGTCACCCGCTCCATGCTTCTCCATCTCCCGCCAGAAGAGCTAACCTTTGCCAAAGTCTCTTCCGCACTTCTCTCTGCTGAAAAAGACAACACTCCACAGGCTCGTGCAAATGCGCTTCGCGCTCCTGTCCCGGCTCCAGCATCGCGTCCCAATCCGCCACCCACTCGTAACCGCTACCCACCCTGTCCTTACGTCATCAAGATGGAACC